GGCTCGAGACCAACGGGAACACCTTCGAGATCCATGACATCGACAGAGAGTTAGGTAAATATTTTTTAATCAGCGAAGCTTTTGACGCATAACACAGAGAGTTATTAATTTAAACTCTCCAGGGGAACGAAGTCATTTTTTCGTAGTTTGCAACAAATATGTACCGATCGAAGTAATGTTCCATCAGTTGAACGTCGACCCCTCCACTTTACTGGTGAAGCAAAAAAATAAAACCTTTGCAAAAAATGCTGATAGGACCCATCCAGGAGGAAGTACAAAAGTTGAAATATGTCAATTACATTCGAGAGGTGCAGTACCCCATGTGAATTTCCAAAGTTCTAATGGTACGTAAGGCTAATGATAAATTGAGAATGTGTGTTGATTTCACCAACCTGAATCAACATGTTCAAAGGACGAATACCTACTGTTGAGGATTGATGCAATAGTGGATTCAACAGTTTGACACTGAGTCCTGAGCTTTCTGAATGCATTTTTCGGGTTCCATCAGATTAATATACACCACACTTACACAAAAAAAAACATCCTTTATTACTAGTGAAGGAATGCATTAGTATAATGTAATGTCTTTTGTGTTAAAAATAACTAGAACGACTTACTAACGTCTCATGGATACAATTTTATTGAATCAAAAAGGAAAAAAAATATTGAAGTGCATGTTGATGATGTGTTACTTAAGAGGCGGCCGACCACAAAACACATAGAAGATTTAAAGGAAATCATTAAAACTCATAAGAAATTCAACATGAGGTTAAACCCTTTAAAATGTATATTCAGAGCCTCGACAAGTAAATTCCTAGGATATCTTCTAATCCTTAAAGACATGAAAGCCAACCCCAAAAAAAAAACCCAGGTGCTCGTTGACATGCCATCCCCATAGAGCGCTAAGGAAATTCAAAAATTAAGCCTGTCAATTTGTTGGGCTCGGCTGGTTTATATCTAAATCTGATAATAAATGTGCAAATTTCTTTAAAGTACTAAGAGAAGTAAGAAGTTTTGAGTGGACCGTTGAGTTTGAAGAAGCCTTCACAAGCATCAAAAGATCTCTTAACTCTCCCCCTCTACCTCAAAGCTTGAAATCAAAGGAAGAACTTTCTTTATACATATGTGTGGGTGGTGGTCGACAATGGTTGGCGGTGCTCGACGACAACGAGAATGGTGCTAGACTTCAGTTTCTTCTTAATGCTTCAAGTTCTTTCTCAATACTCAATCTCTCTTATTTATAGTGTTTTTGGTGCAACTAAACTAAGAATATGAAGCACTTTGATTAGACTGTAGAGCTTCATTCAATTAGACTATATTTGATGGACATTTAAGTGTCTTAACGATGTAAAAATTGAGCGATCTTGGGCTCGCTGGATTCTTCTTGTCGACATTCAATTTGACTATAGACTTGCTAGATTTGACATTCATTTAACCTTTCACATGTGTTTGGAAAACTTTAAAGAGTCGTTTAATGACTTGATCTGAGCTCAATTTGATTCAGATTTGATCAAAGTTGGTACCATTGGGCCCGTCTCGTCAAGCTGCTTAATATGACTATACGTTTGTTGAAA